GTACCGCCGCCTCGACGGCATGCCCTCTCTGGCCGGCCGGGCAGCGGGACGGGACGGGGAGGGCTTCGCCATCAGGGAGGAGGGCAGCTCAGTAAGTCCCGTCGGCGTCTGTTCCCCGTCTGAGGTGGTCCCAGATCATGGGGAAATCAGCTGTAATTCTTTCGAAGCAATTGCTGCTTGTAAAAAAATCAGTAAGCAGCCCCGCTAGCAAACCATTTGTACAGACACCCGGAGTGCATCGCAGAGCATGCTCGTCCATAACCTCAATTTTGGGACCTTGCTCTGTATCACGCTACCTAAATCCCTGTCCTGAGAGCTCATCCCTAGCACTGTCCATGTTACTGAGAGCAGTATGGCCCTTCGTTAGTAAGCAAAGTAAAATCCTCTACCTCCTCTACATTATGATTTTATCTGTGCTTTGGTTTGTGAGCTGTTTCCAGTTCTTGACCTGTAAAAATCAAACTACTGATCAGCTACTGGTCTGGCCGGTTTTTCGAAACCCTGCAATATATTTGCAAATGTGGTACATGTAAACCAGAGCAGTAAATAAAGAGTATTTTTACCAGCTGTGAAATGCATTTGATGTTATCAACATTCATTCATATTTCAGGAAGGAAATTCGGGTTTTAATTGAATATTATGTTAATGAAAGGGGACTAGATTAAAAACCCAGGAAATAAATATTCTGTATTAAGTGCCGTGAAGGGGACAAGCACTGTTGTCTCTGTGCTGCCTTGCCAGTATGCTTCAAATTTAACCCAGGGTAGTTGGTTGCTTTTCATGGCCCACATGCGCTTTGGCTGCAGAGTGGTGCTTTTTTAATTTTTGCCGAGCGTTGCACCTCAGTTCCCCGCTATCAAGTTCCTCACCTCCCTGTCCTAATCCTTATTGCTTTGGGGTAATTGTGACATCTACCTGGGCTGCTGCCAGAAGGGCTGTCCTATCTATCGGTTTCCATTGCCTCTCCTGCTCTTACATCAGTAGGCTTGTTTGATGAGTGGTATCAGAGGACTAATTCAGGCAGCTGAAAACCAAACCTTTTTTCTTATATCAGTTTTCTGCTCTAGCTTTCCACACAACAGTAGGAATACTAGTACTGCACAAGAGAGGCACTGTGGAAACAAGAGAGGGCAAGTGGAAGTGTGTCACCTTTAAGCAACAGACAGGAATAATGTCAGAGTACTTGACTATGCAGATTTGGCCTAATTCTTACTCAGGCCATAAAGTAAACCAAAACAGAGACGGCTTTTCTCTCTGAAAATAAACAAAAGGAAGCTGTCCTACTGTGAACTTTTGATTTTATTTTAGTATTTTTTTTTCGTTAGGATGAAGACCTCCCTAACTCATTTGTGACAGAAGGCAGTCAGCAGTGTGCTGTTCTTACAGGTTAGAACCCTTTCAATTATTCCCCTACATTTTCCCTCTAAGACCACAGGGTGGAATAAAAGGGGAAGGGGGGAAGATATTAGTGTTCACATAACTGTCAAGCTCTAAACAAAATTGGAGCTAAGTCTAGTCACACTTTATGGTTCTTGACATAGGTGAGTAGTTATCTCAGTCACTTCTTGCTGCATGCCCTTGATCACCAATTATTGATTTGGCATTATAGTAACCAGGTATCCATTATGGTTAGGTATCTATGAGAGCTTAAAAATGGGTTCATCAGTTTTGGTTTTAATTCATTTACTTTTCACATATGATGTCATCTACACTTGAAACCAGATCCTTCAGATGAAGCACTTTTTGCTTATTATGTTCTTTTGTTTGTTGTGAGGAGAAGTAGGTCTAAAGCTGATTAGAATTTTCTTCTGGTAAACTAAGTCTTACAGGTGCCAGTATCTGATTCAGACCCAAAGCAAATACAAACAAAAATTCTATGAAACCCAACTCCTATCTTTTGGGATGCTCTAAGCAGATAGTAGAAAGGACAGGGAATGCTTTGAAAGGAGATCTTTTCATATCTGTGACAAAGACAAGTAATTAACTCTGGTCATTGTTGTGGTCAGTGCATAGTACCAGCAGTCCCAATCATCCAATCACTAGATTTTTTTCAAAGCCTTTTCTCTGCCTATCATGTTTTCATTCAAGTGGCTTCTCATAACTTTGAAGAATTCCTTGCTGACAAGAGACACCCCCCATCTCCTCCAAGTGTCTCTGTTGCTTTACAAAATTCTTGATAGCATCAGATTGTTACCTCTCCTGTCATGCTAGGCAGTACTATCTTGTTGCCTACACTCTGTGTGATATTTTGTAGGAATAAGCTTTGTATTTGTATATTCTTGCACAGTACAGATTTTGACCCAGACGCTGAGATTGTAGGCCCTACCATAACACACTAGTAATGAAAGCAGTAATAATAAAAGATGCCAGCATTTTCTATAGGAACCCAAATAAACTATTCCCTGCTGCAGTTGAATACTTGATGTGCTTTGTGGTTTAATGAATTAAGTGTTCATTCAACACTACTTTTAAATTTAGTGTGATTTATAGGATGGAGTATTAAATTTACATTTCAGTGGGATGTAATTTTATTGTGTCATGCTTAGCTATGTAAATTTCATGTAGATAATCATAGAATCATAGAATGGTTTGGGTTGGAAGGGACCTTAAAGATCATCTAGTTCCAAACCCCCTGCCATGGGAAGGGACACCCTCCACTAGACCATCATCTCCTCAGTCTGTTTCCACTTGGAAGAGCAAGAGAGACTGATGTGAGCGTTCTTTCACTTTCTTAAAGATTCCGTTTGTGCTCATCTTTTCCCAAGGGCAAACCAGATTCTGTTATCATCTGACTCAGAGGCAGTGGTACCCCGTCCTCGGGAGCCTCAGAATCTGGATGACTCCTCACCTGCTGGTCAGTTTTCCCTTGTGCACTGGCCACACCAATGTGAAGTTGTCAGGGACAGAATTGAGCACATCGGTAAGTTACTGCGTTATGCTCAAAATCTTGTGTATGGGCAAAGACAAAGTACACCTTACATATAAATAAAGCCAAGAATTTATTGTTAGTATAAGTGAAATCTTAGAGACAAATCATTATTAGTCCAGATCTAATTGCTGCAGAAAAAATAATAATGCAGTTAAAATTGTTATATGTATGCTTCACTCACACCCTTTTCCTGGCTTCTCCTTCCACTGCTCCTTTAGGTCCTAAGGGTTTCATTGCAGAGGTTTCGTTCTGGTGGAGGGGAGAGGTAGTTTGTTGTGAATTGTCGGCCTTGGGAGTCCTTTGCTGGGAGAAATATGTTTGTATTGATGATTTCTTCTTCCTCGCTCTAGGATCCAAAGAACTCTGGGGTCATTTTCATGTGTTTGCTAGCTCACTCTTACACCTTATTCTTTCTTCATCGGTCTGCAGCTCCATGTTACATCTGAATTTACCATATACAATGTTCTTTACATATGTTAGATATTATTTCCTTGTTCTCTTTGTTACACCTAAAACAAGTTTTGTCCAGCTGTAGGTCTGGATTTCTACACAGAACAACTGCTTGCTATTGCTGCCCACATAAGCCTGTGGTTGTACCACACAAAGATAAACTAAAACAGATTAGCCGTACATACCTGGTCAACTAGAGAAATTGTTGTCCCAGCTAAATTAAGTAAAATAAAGCTGCAGGCAGATAAAGAAAAGTTCAGACAAAGCAAACCTGACGAGCTTCAGTCCTGAGGTCTTGCAAATTCCGTACAAATCTCATGTCCTGTTACTAGCAATGGCAGTACCATATTTCAGGGCTATATGGTTAAACATGATTGTCAGCTAATAACTGCTTTTACGCAGTCTGTACAAAAGTCATACTGCAAACCCCTTATGAGATAATGAAACTTGAACAGTCCTTGTGCTTTATAGATACAACCAATTGCAATCTGCAAGTAATCAGTAGAAATTCAAAATGCACAGAGGTGTGACTGAGACATCTATGCCCTTGTTCTGTTACCTTTGAAAATAGATCCCACTATCTTGAATGGAATGGGATAGGACTGCTGTGAGTATTACAGTAAGGAAGGGCTTACTGTCAGCATGAATTGGTGTTCAACAGATCTTTGACATGCCGGGTAGATGTCATGCGAGTTACATGGGGACACTGCATTATAGCCATGCAGCATCGATGTGGTCAGCAATCAATGACTTCTCTCTGTAGTGGGACCATCTGTTTTCTTAATGGTACCAATGCTGTCTAATGTTCACCATTGTCATCCTCACTGATGGTAAGCAAGCCGTACAGGGAACAGAGGTAAGTTTGCACAGCAAAAGTTAGTCCATGCACAGATTGATATATATTTTTATTTGGAGTTATAGTGAAGATTTGTTCACAGATCCAAAAAATGAGATTCAAAAGGGGGCTTCCCTGTTCCTTTATGTGCAACTGTATAAATAGGATGAACCACTTTTTAATGTTTCCTTCATATTATAAAGACTCTAATGCAATCTCCTGCTTGTACTCCTTCTGCGTGTCTCTTCTTTTTCAGATTGGACACCCACGGCCCCTGAGCCATTGTACACTCCAACAGGTTTGGAGATGATGCCACCATACCAAACTCCTGACAAAGGCACTGTCATTTATCTGGGAGAAGAAGGTGAGAAGACCCTGAGAAATCTTGCTGTCAGCTGTAGGTAGATGAAGCACCTGCTTTGATCTCCTTTATGAACCTAATTCAAAGTTCTGCTCATACTCTTAGTTATCTCAGAAGTCCAGCTCAGCTCAAGCCATTGTTCTCAGTGAATAACAGTATGAACCAGCCCAAAATGAGTTTTTTTGTGAAAATATGAGTGGAGAAAGATAACTGAACAGCCAAAAGAGAAACTGAAAAAGATGAGAGCTGTGTAACTGCAAGATCAACACTAAAGTCTGTGTTGGGAGAATATTTTGTTATCCTGTTCGCTGTAGTGGTTTTGTCAAGACTTCTAACCAAAATCTGGCCAGATTGGATCAGTACTTGATTACAGGCTCCTAAGTCTGGCAAGGATTAATTGGACAGAATTGAAGGGAGTTAATTGCCTTATTCCACCATCACCAGTTGATTATAAAGTTATTTATTCTTTCCTGTGTTTGCTGAGTTGATCCAGTTGCCTTGGATGAACTTGGAACTTCTGAGAGTTGTTGATTTTGGTCATGAGCTACTTCTACATAGATAGGAAAGAATGATAACAGTTTTGCGATCCTAGGATAACTAGGAAGTGGCCACAACATTTCCAGAAGCACAAAACTGAAAGGGAGCTGGCATACTTCTTGACATCAAAACAGTTGGTATAAGCTTACAATATACTGAAAAGCACTGGTACTCTTTGACATCATGTTTCTTTAGAAATTAGCTGCTTCTGCAGTATGGCTGTATTAGCTGTCACTACTAGGTTGCTACATTTGGTGTCCAAGAAAACTGGCAATTGCTGTGTGACTAGGAAAGAACCTCTGTACTCTGCAGCTGGACCTGCTAATTTATTTCAAGGGATAAGATGTAGAGGAACACTTTGAATCCCAGCTCCCTGCCTTTTTGAAAACAAGGACAGTGATTTCTGTTATGTTCCTTTAGTTGCTGTTCTTTAAAAATGCAGCCTTCCGTGTACTTTATTACTGACTTGAACTTCATGCACGTGTGACTGGAAGTGGTTCTTATTTCAGCCTGTACAACTCTCCAGTAAAGTGTGTATTTTGGTATCATGGTTTTCAGACTTGCATTAATGAAACTTTCCAACCAAGGAGGTGAAAACCTTTTAGTATGGCCAGTTCTCCCTCCTGCTCCTGAGGAATGATTTTGTGCAGGCAGTTACAGGCAGTTAGCAATTCCTGGGCTAGCAAACATCAAGCTGCAGCAGAATATGAGTGCTTGTTATCACTGTGAAAACTCTGTATCTAAACATACGCATAATAATAGTATTTGTTGACTACAGGGTGAGTTTTTAAGTGACTGTCATTGTACGTTCACTGCCTCGAGTGTGCCACTTTGCCCCCTAGCCTTGGGTTTGGCTGGTAGCAGGACCTGCAGAGAACTTCAGAGCTCTGGAGCCTTTACTTCCCCTTCCCTGCTTGCCCCAGGGAGAGCAGACTGCTTGTGCGAACTGGGCTGCTGGGCACTGCAGCCAGCTGGGGGACAGAAGCAGGTGGGAGGAGGAGGACAACTTTGGAGCCCCATGGAGTTAATCTTCTCCTTTCTGTTCCTGGGACAGAAACCACCAGCTTGGGAGCTTTGCCATCTAAGTTATATAGCAATAAATACAATTTTTAAAACCCTAAAATCCTCCTCAAAGAGAAGCTCTATAGGATAGGACAGGCATCTGCATTATGCAGATTTATGACCTGAGAGCCTCAGACTGGCATGTCCATCGTATCCTGTGGGAGATAGTAGCAGCACTCTCCTGATT